TTTTTTTTTTTTTTTTTTTTTTTTTTTTTTTTTTTTTTTTTTTTTTAATCAACAACTCTGCACAAAAGCCTCCAAAATGATACAGGAATATTGGGGTGTGTTTGGGAGTGGTGGAGTCTTAGCTCTGTTGTGCTTACCTTGAGAGGCTAGGGTCTCAGAAACTCAACGACCACCAAAGCCACCTCACACCAGAGGCTTTCCAGTTCTTGTCTTGCAGATTTGAAGAACAAAATTCACAGACCACCAAGGGTGCATTTTAGAAAGAAGTGTTTTATTATAGGGAGCTTAAGAGAGAGAAAGCAGAGTCCAGCAAGAAGAGTTCCCAGGAGTGAGATACCATTGAGTGTCTTTGCTCAGGAGTTAAGGTTTTAGTGGAAGGGTAGGGGAATGAACTGGTCAGTCCAGTTTCTATTCCAGGGGTCCAGGTTCCTGGAAGTTCTGCTCATGTCCTCAGCATGGCTCCCAAGGACAGGGCACTCACTCCTTTAGGGAAAAGGGATAAGAAGAAAGAACAGACCCACTTTCTGGCATCCAGCCTCTGGTTATGGCGGAGCCAGAGACATCTTTGGCTTAGATACTTCTGGCATCTCTGACCACAGGCAAGGACAAGGACAGGCCCAAGGACATTTTCAGCTCTTAGCCAAGAAAGAAACTGGTCATTTTTCTTTTGGCTTCTTTTTACCCTAAACTGCCTCAGCACTTTCTACCTCCTGTTCTCATCAACACCTTCTGTACAGTCATCTAGGAGCCAGGTTACTAGGGGAACAGTGGCCTTTCCTTTCCTACTCTTTTGGACTGGTATTGAATATGCCTTTTTTACACTTGTCTTTTTACACTTGTCTCTCTGTCCACTCGATGTCTCTTATACACAGAGATACAACTGCTGTAAATCACTGAGCTTGGGGAATAGATTTTACTAGACTAGGATTACATTGGGCTCACCACAATAATCCAGAATAATCATTTTATTTTAAGGTTAGCCAATTAGCAGCTTTAATTCCATCTGGTCCTTCAATGCCTCTTTGACATATGGCAGGATATAGTCACAGTTTCCATGGACTGGGACATGGATATTTTTAGGAGGAGGGTCCTTATTTTGCCTATTAGTGCATAAATCAGAAGCCAGGATTGAAACATGAAAAATGGGGTATTTTATCAAAGTTTACAATTACAGTATTCCTCAACCAACCTTGAAAATCCAAGGTAATACAAAAAAAACTTTTCCTTAATCTTATGATGACCCACCAATCTTAAGGTATCAGATACTGAAGGAGATTTTGCTAAATCTGATGGTCCTGCAGTTGTTCTGTAAACCCTTTGCTTTCAGTTTCTAGATGGTAAAGAAATAAAGAAACTGAATGTCCAGTGGCTGCGAGCACAACTGGGCATTGTGTCCCAGGAGCCCATCCTGTTTGACTGCAGCATTGGTGAGAATATCGCCTATGGAGACAACAGCCGGGTCGTGTCCCAGGATGAGATCGAGAGGGCGGCCAAGGAGGCCAACATCCACCAGTTCATCGAGTCACTGCCTGATGTATGTATTTTTCCAGACTGAATGAATTCCAAAGAGAAATTAGCAAGCAAAATACACTCTGCCTGTACACACAGATCTGGCCATACGTCCAGTGCCTGTGAGAAGTTAAGTTTACCTAATCTTCTGACTGTCCTTGTGAGGACGGAACAAAGCATTATATACATTCAAGAACTTTCCAGGAGTAGAAGGGCTGATAGAGCCCTTCAGTTTCTAGATTTGAGGCTCCATCCACTTCAGCCCAATGTCTTGGAGTCATTTTTCTCCAAGTCCATGGAAAGGGCCAGGAGGTCATAACTGGGTCTCTTGACTCTGGTCTTGCCAGAACTGACCTTTCCTGAACTTATCCCTTTCTCTTTCTTCCATCATCTTAGAACTCTTCAAGCTTCAACCTCAGTCTGAAGTTAGGCCACATAACAGCTGGACCTGTGCCAGAAAGAGGGCTCCCTAAGTAGGGCTGTTGGGAAGAACATGATATTGTACAATTTCTCATCATTGTGCCTTTCATGCCCCACCCCCATTTATAAAGTTGATTATTAAAATCTTCCCTGGGCTGTTGTCCTATGGCTGTCCTCTCAATTCCTCTAATAAGTTAGATAAATTGAACCTCTGGACCTATCTTAAGACCTCGTAGGTCCTATTTTTTTTTTTTTTTTTTCTTTTTGAAACAGGGTCTCCGTGTAAGCCCCAGCTATCCTGGAACTCACTATGTAGACCAGGCTGGCCTTGAACTCACAGAGATCTGCCTGCCTCTGCCTCCCAAGTGCTGGGACTACAGGCATAGGTCCTATTTTTTTAAATGCATCTTGCCTAAATAGTATACTCTCTTGCATTATCACTAGTTAGGTTTTTAATACCAGAAAGTGCCTTCCATAGCATAAGACTAAATAACCTTAAACCTGCTGGGAAGGTAGAGGCCTCATGGGCAAGGATGGCAGCACCAGGTAGCTCTCTTTCCAAGTTTTGTCTTTTCCTTTGGCTCTTCCACAGATCACAGGTCCTCCTAAGCACAGCACTCCTGTCTTCTTCCTCTCCTTAAACAGTCTAGTCCAGCCATGATGACTGATTCTTCTTGAGGCTTAAACATTTAAAGTACAAAACCCTAGTCCCCTTTGCTGAGAGGCACTAGTTCTCAAAGATTGAATGTGGTTCATCAGTACCTTGGAAGTTGTTAGAAATGCCAATTATCAGTCCTACCCTAACTCCACTAAATGAGAAGAAACCGGCAGTCAAGTCTAGCAGTCTTTGACCTAAGGCCTATGTGTTATTGATGGAGGCTATAATACACAAAAAGCTAGCTACTATCTAGCTCATAAATACTTTCTGATGTTATTCTATCATAAGGACCCATATTTCTGGACTCCTAATGTCTCTGTCACTAAGTCCTGTTCTCTAAGCATCTACTTCTCCTGACTGATTGATTAGTCCTAGAACTGACAAAGACCTGTTTATTTTCCTCCTTCCTACAGAATTATAAACACTGCCCTTCTCTACCCCATTAGGATCTCTGCTGTGTCAGTGCAGTCTGGCAACCCTGCACTCACATTGGGCAGGACACATTACAGTGCCTGGATTCTGAGGCAACCACAGCTCAAGGGTGGAACCTGTCCTAAGCATCTGTCCATAACTCACCAGGGCCCTTTCTCTCCAAATCGGTTCCTGTTTTGCCCACCATAGAACTGGGGTTGCCAAGTAGAACAAATAAAAATGGCACACTTGCATAGAACATAGATTTCACATTAAAACTTAACATTTTAAGTAGCAGAGCTATCTGTGTAGCTAATTTTAGCCTGCTGAGGATCTACAAATAATAAGAGAGTACCTGGTTACACATACTGTCATGTCCCACTTCTGCTTTCCTTTACAAACCCTTTTAGCCTATGTCTTTATGATCATATATAATAATCTGTGACAGTTCTCTACTCTTGCAAATAATGTGGCAAGAATTTTGAAAACTCTAAAAGCAAATAAAGAAAAATACTTACAGTTTTCAAAGTTAGTTATCAAAGTGAAATTCCTTAACAGCCATTAAAATAATTTAAATTTTGGAGATAGTTTAATAGAAACTCACCAAAAGGCTAAGAATTTCTTTGCTCAGTTTAAAAGCATATAGAGTGTCACCTGCTGGTTTCCATTATTATAAACATTATTATAAATAATGTTTCCATCATTATAAACAGCTTTTAAAATCATATTTCTTTTCTCCTACCAATCTTTGTTCCAAATATAATGAAGGCAGAAGATGGAAAGTGGAATGCCATTTTCTTACATGGAGAAATTCTGACTTATTTACACTTAAAGAATATAATCTCAAGGCCAAATATCTATTTTTAAAAGGAGAGATTAAACCTACCATTTAGAGCTTTCTCTTGTTGTTTAGCTCTCTACAAACCAGTTTCCAGCTTCTGAAACTAAATTTATCTAATTATCCTATTTTTTTGTGAGCAGACTGTGTTTGAACTTTGTCGTCAGCTCTAGTCTCACACAACCAAATTCTCTTCACAGAAATACAACACCAGAGTAGGAGACAAAGGAACTCAGCTGTCTGGTGGTCAGAAGCAACGAATCGCCATAGCCCGCGCCCTTGTTAGACAGCCTCATATTTTGCTTCTGGATGAAGCAACATCAGCTCTGGACACAGAAAGTGAAAAGGTAAGGATTTAAGTTGGTTTTTTCATACTTCACTCAGTTGTCCTTAAAAGGTGTAAATTTTCTGTGCTGTAGTAGACAACATTGGGCCAGATGGCTGATTGTTGCTATGTCAGCTCCCAGTGCAATTTAAAGACTGTAGCTGCAGCCTGGGAGACCTTTAGCCACACAAGGCACATTAGTCTCAGAGCCCATAGGCTTCACAACCAGCCCTGTGTCCCTGTGTTGAGCCCACAAGGCACATGCTAGCTGAATGCTGCCCGCTCCTGCAGACAACATCTCCACAGCAACCATGTGAAAAGGTGGGGGTGAGATAGGGTTCAATCTGGCAGTGCCATGAGACAGATGTTGACAGTGCTTTTCAGTTTGAGAAAAGGTTAAGGATCCAGCTAGCTGAAAGACGGGCAATGAGGAGATGCTTTCTACCTGCCGTGATGGCCTTGGCTTGTGCTCTGGCTTCCCAAATTTGCTGTGGAGCTGGACTAGATGGCTGCTTTTAGGAATTTGAACATAAGACACATAGATGTTTTTTAATGACTTGATGGACTATATTGACACTGTAACCTTAAAAATAGATATATCCTGTCTCAGAACTAAGCCAAACTGAGGTTGAGTTCTTTTGTAGTGTGACAGATACATTTGTTTCTAAACTCCACTTTATTTCACCAACAGTACTGTTTAAGGACAGAGTACACAAATTGTGGGGTTTGTTATGGAGGGGGAACTATAGTGAGAGAACTGTTTTTATCATAATCAGTTTGTGTGATTGTGAAACAGGTTGTCCAGGAAGCCCTGGACAAAGCCAGAGAAGGCCGCACCTGCATTGTGATCGCTCACCGCCTGTCCACCATCCAGAACGCAGACTTAATCGTGGTGATTCAGAATGGCAAGGTCAAGGAGCAGGGCACCCACCAGCAGCTGCTGGCACAGAAAGGTGTCTACTTCTCAATGGTCCAGACTGGAGCAAAGCGCTTGTGAACTGTGACTATTTGAGATGCTTAACATTGTTAATTATGGTGGATAACTATGGCATTTAATCAAAGTTATAAAGCAAGAATTTATTGAATTAAGTATTTAATATTTCCTGCCACTATTGAAAATTTTGTTGAGCTTAAACAGAAATTTCATAATTAAGTGAACTGAAATTGGAAAAGTCATCAAATAGGGCCAGTGTTTTTAATTATATGATGAAATTTTAAAGATTTTTTAAAATAAAGTATATAATTTTGCTTAACTTTCTAATTTCAACTGTAACTGCCTTGCTAAATGATTATAGAAGTTGTAAAAAAGTCCTGAACTGTTCCTTAAAGTGCCTATAAAAACCAAATTTCATATAATTAGAATCTGTCATATGTATGAGTATATTCTTCCAACTAGATAGTCTATTCTTCCAACTACTTTAGATAATTTCAACTTTAGAGAAATGATTTCAGAAACACTTGCATTTGGTTGCCACCAGAGAGCTGGAGAAATTAAATCATCTGTGTGCAGATGATGTAATTCTAAACAGAAAATCTTAGGAAGTCCATAAAAAGGCTTAATATCATTTACAATAGTTATAAAACAAATTACACAAAAAAACATAGAACCAAATTTAACCAAAGAAGTGAAAGCCCTGTACAATGAAAATTTCAAAAAGCTGACAAAGGTAATTGAATAACACAGACATACACACACACACACGCACATGCACACACACATATGCACACACACACACATGCATGCATGCACTCACACATACACATGCAACGAAAAACTGCTCATGGACTGGAAGAATTAATAGTCTTAAAAAATTCATACTCTCAGGCTGGAGAGATGCCTTAGCAGTTAAGAGCACTGGCTGTTCTAGCAGAAGACTCAGGTTCGAATCCCAGCACCCACATGATGGCTAACAACCATCCATAACTCCAGTTTCAGGGATCCAACACCCTCTTCTGTCCTTCGCAGGCACTGCATGACACAATACACACATTCAGGCAATACACTCATACACATAAAAAAAAAAAAAGTCCGTATTCTCAAAGCAACTTACATATTCAATGCAATTCCCATAAAAATACCAATGACTTTGTTCAACAGAACTGAGAAAACACCTAAAATTCATATGGAACCACAAGACATTCCAAATTGTTTAAAGAATTCTTGAGGGAAAAAGCAAAGTCTAGAGAGACAGCTTAGTGGTGAAGCACTTGCTGCACAGAAAAGCAAACAATCAAGTGAAGAGATGTCTACAGAATAGGTAAAGATTTTTCCAGCTCTACATGTGACAGAGGATTAATATCTAGACTATACAAATAATTTTTTAAAAACTAAACAAGAAAAACAACCCAATCAAAAGCAGGGAGGAGCTATGGAACTGAATGGAGAATTCTCAAAAGAAAAAACACCAATAGCTAATAAAGTGTTCAACACCCTTAGCCATATGGAAATGCAAACTAAAACTATTCGGAGATTCCTTCTCACCCCAGTCAGAATGACTGTCATCAAGAAAACAAAACAAATGACAATAAATTCTGGGGAGGATATAGGGAGAGAAAAACCCTTATTCATTGTTGGCGAAATGTAAACTTGTGCAGCCAGTATGGAAATCAGTGTGAAGTGCCTCACAAAACTTAAAAAGACAACTACCGTCTATACCATTCCTAGGCATAAATCCAAAGGACTGTAGATTTTGCTGCAGAGATAGTTGCTGATCCATGTTCATTGCTGCCCTATTAACATAGGAAAGAAATGGACTCAGCCTAGATGAAAAATAGATAATGAAATGTGGTGTAGACACACTACAAAGTTTATGGAGCCAAGTATGATGATGCATACCTGTAATCTCAACACTTGGGAGGTAGAGGCAGGAGGATCGAGTTCAAGGTCATCCTTGGCTACCTAGTGAGTTTGAGGCAAGCCTGCATTATCTAACCAAAAAGAAAAAATGAAATTATGAAATTTGCCAAAAAAATGGGTGGAACTTTGATATGTTGTATGAAATGTGGCAACCCAGGCTCCAAAAGACAAATCCTGCATACTCTCTCTCATATGTGGATCCTAGCTTCTAATTTTTATACGTATGTGTTTATAAGGGGCCCATGAGAAGGGAAAAAGAGGCTTTAAGGGATAGGGGTGGAGAGGACAGTAGAACACATATGATATGAAAATGGAAGGGGAAATACTGGAGGAGGAAGGGTGTATGCAGGGATGAGGTTACAGAGACGGGGAGGGGAGAGGAGGGTGGGAAACAGCAACCCAAACTAAGTATGTATGAAAATATTGGGGCTGGAGAGATGACTCAGTGGCTAAGAGCATGGACTGCTCTTGCAGAGGACACAGGTTCAATTCCCAACATCCACATGGTGACTAAAACCATGTATAACTCCAGTTTCAGGGGGTCTGATGCCCTCTTCTGACCTACTTGGGCATTGCATGACACAGGTGCACTTACATACATGCAGGCAACACACTCATACACCTAAAATAAAAATAAATAAATCAAAAATGAAAATATCATAAGGAAACTTGTTACTTTATGAGATAATTAAAAATAATAAGATTAAAAATTAAAAACAGTTAGGCATGGTGGCACACACCTTTAATCCCAGCTCTCAGGAGGCAGAGGCAGGTGGATCTCTGTGAGATCCAGGCAAGCCTGGTCTACATAGTAAGTTCCAGACAGGCTGGGACTAGGGAGACCCTGTCAACAAAACAAAACAAAACAAACAAACAACAACAAAAAAAGGCAAAGCCATTGATGGTTCTCAGTGAGAGCTTGATGTGACAAAAACACCAAAGGAAGGACGATCAGACAGGAAAAGCCTTGTTGTGATGTGAATCATGACCCTCCTCAAAAAGGTAAGTCCTAATCCCTGGGACTTATGAACGTGATCTTATTTGGAAAAAAAGACTTTGCAGTTATAATAAAGCATCATGAGATGAAATCATTCTGGGCCCTAAATCTAGTGCTCAGTTTCTTTATGAAAATGAGGCAAAGAGACATCTAACACAGAAGAGCAGGTGACATTACCATAAGAACACAGATTGAAGTGATGCAGCTGTGAACCAAGGAAAGCTGTAGGCTACCTGAAGTTGGAAGAGGCAGCACAGATTACCGCTTAGAAACAAAGAGAATGTAGCCATCCAAGAGTTTAGATTTTCAGTCTTTGGAACTATGAACCAATAAACTTCTGTTTCCATTAAGCTACCATGATTGTGATAATTTTTCAGCCTCAAACCAGGGAAGTGAAAAAAGATGCATTTATTTAAAGTCAATACAAGCAATGAGGTTGCTGAGTTAGCTGCTAACAGAAACCCTTAATGACTGAGAACGTCTGAAGACAAGATGCTCGTGGTGGAGAGGAGAAAGACTGGCTAAGAAGACGCTGTGATGATGGAGATAAGGGGCTTTTTCAGCAGGAGGAGAATTGTTCAGAGGGCTTCATGTAGAGACACCCCAGGGTACCTACTAACAGCATTTGGTCCCAGTATATGCCACTTGTTGAGTTGGTCCCTTTTCTAACCTGGGCTTCTTGATTTCCTTCACTTCATCTCAAAGTTATCCAGTGAATCCCAACTCTAAATGATGGCCCTCTATTTAGCTTACCAGAATCAATCTCTTAATCTAGGCCAAAATGTGTTTCAGACTGTTTCCTGACACACACAGCAGCCCTTTGTCCTCAGGTCTCAGTAACAAGCCTTATTTAAATTCATTTTTCTTACTCAGTTCAGAATCCTCCTGGTCCCAGCTCGCAAATCTTTTGAGAAGAGGATCAAGATCACCTTTACAGCACTGTTCCTGAGGTTGTCAAAGTCCTCTCATATAATAGAGGCTCAATAAGTGTCAATTTCTGTTCCAGTTTGTACCATCCCTTGTGTCAGTTTGACAAGAAATTAGTTAACATCTAACAAGTCATTTGTTAACATAAGATGTATCATCAGGATTCTTACCTGAAGTCATGTAGTTCTACACACACACACACACACACACACACACACACACACACACACACACACAGGTGGGGAGAGGGGCTACTGTTACTGTCAGACCTGTGACTCAGCCTCACCTGCCACCCAGAATGTAAGGGAAAAGCCTTATGGGTATTGTGTCAGATTTTTTAAGATAAAAGAAAATTTTTATATAGATGTGTACTGTATATAGTTTTATTTTTAAGAACTTAGAGAAGCACAGTAACTGTGTGGCACAAATGTCCATGTTCTGGGTTTGACTTTGAAATTCAGTTACCATAGATCATCACTGGGAAAAACTGGCCAATCAGGCACACAAGATCCCATGTAAGATATATACAGTTTCCCAAGCTATCTATGCTTATTTCAAAATTCAAAAGTTGGCATGACCACAGACCACTATCCAGGTAGGTTGATCGTGCCCTCTGCACCTTGACTCCCCCAGCCTCATTCACCCTCCCATCTCCCCTGCCCATCTCTCCTCCTAGCCTGGGTCCTGTCCCATTCCTTGTCTTGGTGCTCCAGACACTGGGGAACCACCACTGCTTCCTGATCCTTTGCATCCAGACCAACCCAGTTCCTTCTCAAGGTCCCCAGGAGCCCTCTGGGCCTGGTCTTGCCCTCACTTCCCTCTGCTTCCCTGAACTGCACCATCCGCCAACCTGTTTCCTGCACCTGGGCTGAGCTCTTGGCCAGGGGCCACCACTGCTTCCTGATCCCTCACATCCAGAGGGACCCAGTTCCTTCTTCAGGTCTCCAGAAGCCCTCTGGTCCTGGTCCTGGCTTCACCTCTCTCTACTTCCCTGGGCCTTCAGGACCTGCTGGCCTCTCTCTGGGGTAAGTCGATAGCGCTCTCTGTGCCTTGATTCCCCCAGCCTCACTCACCCTCCCATCCCCCGTGCCAGTCTCTCCTCCTAGCCTGGGCCCTGTTGCATTCCTTGTCTTGGCACTCCAGACACTGGGGAACCACCACTGCTTCCTGTTCCTTTGCATCCAGACCAACCCAGTTCCCTTTCAGGAGCCCTCTGGGCCTGGTCCCGCCCTCACCTCCCTCTGTTCCCTGGACCCCGGGGCTGACCTATTGGCCCCAGGCCACCACTGCTTCATGATCCCTTGTATCCAGACAGACCCAGTTCCTTCCTGAGGTTCCCAGGAGTCTTCTGGGCCTAGTACCGCCTTCACCTCCCTCTGCTTCCCTGGGCTGCACAACCCGCCAGCCTCTTTCCTGGACTCCGGGGCTGACCTTTTGGCATCCTGATCCTTTGCATCCAGACCAACTCGATTCCTCGGTGCAGTACCAGGAACACTTGGGAACTTTTCCCACCCCCATCTCCCTTTGTATTTCTGAGTGTCATGGCCACCAGCTACCCAAGACCAGCATCTTTCC